ATGTACAGATAACGAAACCTCAGCAAGAAAGACAGCAGTAGTAAGGCATCAGCAAGCAAAGTCGAGACGAGTATTCCGATGCTATTATCTCAGTTTATGGAGTAACAGCAAGGAATGGACCTTGGGGTTACGTGGGACTTACTCCTCAGATTCAGCTCTGATTTTTCTTTCCTTTTATAGTTGCTTTCTAAGGCAATCTGTGTACAGTTCTACCCTTTTTGCCTACTGTTGATTCAAAATGTGTAATCTATCATCGCGCTATCACAAAAAAGTGACAAGTTAGAATTAAAATTTCTTCCCCTTTTTATGTACACCTTGTATTGAGTGTCTCTGAAAAAAAAAAAAAAGGAGAGAAAGGAAAAATGCTAAAAATAAGGTATTTTTTATAAGTATGTTGTCTTCAAAAAGCAAATATTAATGTAAACTCAATTTACATTTTATTTTTTTCAGAAAGCTGATTAATAATACAGAAAGAACACTAAGATCTAGAAAGTCCATTAACATATAATAAATCGAAACCGATAGAAAAATGTGATGTGGAACGCAAGGACGCGGATGTTGCCTCGTTTCACAACTCTCGACAAGGACTCCTCTTAATGGACGAGTTTCATCATTTAAATGTTCCTTACACTGAATATCCATGGTATACGAAGGCCTACTCTGGGGCCTTAAGTCGCCGTAACTTTGGGCGACTTTGGGCGATTTAAGGCGACTTAAGGCAACTTAAGCAAATTTGGCAAAAAAAAACATTGCAACTTAAGGCGATTTAAGGCGACTTAAGGCGACTTTTTAAAAGAGCGCAAGTTACCAACGGTCAAACATTTGGTGGCAACAGCCAAAAATCGATTCGGCTCATATTCTCAAGTTAGGTAGGCCTTATGGTGAAACAAAGCACTGCATACTTCGTTTGGCTGAATATCGATTTATTTTCTAGAAAATCGATAACAACTGAGTTTCGAACAAATGCCGCCTCTGAAGCTCAAAATTTGAAATAAATCTCGCAGCTTCCCGCCACGAATTGAAAACACTTGGACTAATAAAAACTACCAAATCTTGAAAAACAATATCAATACATATGTTCACAGCAATTTGAGCAATTCTTGATCGTTTACTTACACAATGTAATTGAATTTAACCTACCTTCTTCTAGTAAGATTAAAAGTAGGTCAAAAGTAACCCGCTATTTAACTATGTGCTATACAAAATAATCGAATAAAAATCTGGCTTTTGGAAGGCGAAGTGTGGTTCTTTTCGATCTCTAAAGGATTTTTTGGGGAAATGATTCAGTGCGATTTAATCAAATTTTAAAGTTGGATAAAATGAGCTGACTTGACGATGCCGTCAGTTGTTCGAAAATGTTCACATTCACACAGAAACTCAATTGTTTCGCATTTTACATCCAATCTACAGCTTATTTAACATGATATCATCTTACCGTCCATATTGCTGTATCAGAAAAGGGGATTGCAGTCCTAAAATTGTTGCATTGCTCCCTCAATAGTATTAGAACTTGGCAGGATATTTAACATATCCTGATATTGTTTACAAAGCGTATCTCGAGGTTTCTCTATTCCCATTTCGTTGAAATACTTCGCGTAAGAGATCTTTGTTTAAATATAAGTCTACAACCGAATCGTGAACCAAATGTAAGCGGAATGTTGCTAGTTCAGAAACATGTTTCTCGCGTGCAGAATAACGCTAATTAATTCAAAATGAGGTCTACTGAAATAAAACGCAAAAATAAAACATTGGACTATGAAGCACGTGGCTACTAACAAGCCAACTGGGAGCAGGCCGTTAAGTTGATTCGTAATAAACCCGTGATGATAAATCAGATACAATGTATATATGAAGTTCATATATTTTGAACTGCGGTATTAGATACGTATGATGCACGATCCTCGCAGTAGAGAGCGCTATTTATGCAATAGCGAAAATCAGACCTGAAAAAAATCAGGCCTGTACGGGATTCGAACCACTGACCTCTGCGATACTAGTGCAGCGCTCTACCAATTGAGCTAACAAGCCAACTGGGAGCAGGCCGTTAAGTTGATTCGTAATAAACCCGTGATGATAAATCAGATACAATGTATATATGAAGTTCATATATTTTGAACTGCGGTATTAGATACGTATGATGCACGATCCTCGCAGTAGAGAGCGCTATTTATGCAATAGCGAAAATCAGACCTGAAAAAAATCAGGCCTGTACGGGATTCGAACCACTGACCTCTGCGATACTAGTGCAGCGCTCTACCAATTGAGCTAACAAGCCAACTGGGAGCAGGCCGTTAAGTTGATTCGTAATAAACCCGTGATGATAAATCAGATACAATGTATATATGAAGTTCATATATTTTGAACTGCGGTATTAGATACGTATGATGCACGATCCTCGCAGTAGAGAGCGCTATTTATGCAATAGCGAAAATCAGACCTGAAAAAAATCAGGCCTGTACGGGATTCGAACCACTGACCTCTGCGATACTAGTGCAGCGCTCTACCAATTGAGCTAACAAGCCAACTGGGAGCAGGCCGTTAAGTTGATTCGTAATAAACCCGTGATGATAAATCAGATACAATGTATATATGAAGTTCATATATTTTGAACTGCGGTATTAGATACGTATGATGCACGATCCTCGCAGTAGAGAGCGCTATTTATGCAATAGCGAAAATCAGACCTGAAAAAAATCAGGCCTGTACGGGATTCGAACCACTGACCTCTGCGATACTAGTGCAGCGCTCTACCAATTGAGCTAACAAGCCAACTGGGAGCAGGCCGTTAAGTTGATTCGTAATAAACCCGTGATGATAAATCAGATACAATGTATATATGAAGTTCATATATTTTGAACTGCGGTATTAGATACGTATGATGCACGATCCTCGCAGTAGAGAGCGCTATTTATGCAATAGCGAAAATCAGACCTGAAAAAAATCAGGCCTGTACAGGATTCGAACCACTGACCTGTACGGGATTCGAACCAATGATCTGATTCGAATCCCGTACAGGCCTGATTTTTTTCAGGCCTGATTTTCGCTATTGCATAAATAGTGCTCTCTACTGCGAGGATCGTGCATCATACGTATCTAATACCACAGTTCAAAATATATGAACTTCATATATACATTGTATCTGATTTATCATCACGGGTTTATTACGAATCAACTTAACGGCCTGCTCCCAGTTGGCTTGTTAACTCAATTGGTAGAGCGCTGCACTAGTATCGCAGAGGTCAGTTAGTTCTTTGCGAGTTGATAGTACGTCGAGCTATCACACATCCTCTTCACTGATCTTGGTGTATTTAAATTATACTGCCAGTAATGATAAATAAAGAATGAGGGTGAATATGTGTGAAGAAAATTTTGATTAAAAGGGAACGCAATAAACAAATATTATAGGTAATAAAAGAGCGACATCAATCATAATTTAGATCAATTTAGATCGGGCCAATTTCACATCTAACGAGGCCGTTTGATGTTTTTCATCATTGGCTTCTTTCTATTGTGTCTTTTTATGTCAATATACATATTCTTTTGTTTTTCCTTTTTTTCAATATATCTTTTGTGCGTTCGTTGTTGAGTATAACCGTTGAATTAGAGACAGGAGTTTCGTTCTATTTTTCCAAGCTACGAAGGGTTTGACGTACATTTATTACTCTGTCACAAGAGTTTCTAAGGCGATATGGAAACGATCATATGTTTGATCAAAAGGAATCTTCGATATAGCTAAGGATATGAGATAGTGTTTCATTGGATAAGTTGTCCTTCTGTTTGGATAATTTCCGAAACATTAATTTATTTTCATACATTCGCTAAACATCTTAAAGAAAGTTTATTGTTTTATGAAAATTGATACATAAGGTGTTGGCAGCATTGACTGAAGGGATAAAAGGAAACTGTAAAACAGTGTAACAAGTTTATGCACGTTCAATTTCCACCGTACTGTACAACTGCACAGACTGGAGATCTCTCTGACCCGTGCTATAACATGTCTATCCTTTGGATCTGCTGTATATTCTTGATCATACTCGGGGCTGTCAGGTCTAAAGGTTAGTAAGTCAAGTGTATATACTAGTTTCTAAAGGAAATATAAGCAAAGATGGCGAGGATGGTGTCTCATCTATTGAAATAGAAGGTTATCAGATAATGTAAAGGTTTCAAAAAGAACTTGAAGTCAAATTAAATTATAGATGATTAAAGTAATCTCCGCGGATGTGAAGCCAAGAACATTGGTATTGGTAAAATGTCATTACAAATTAACCTGATATCAAAAGTTTTGACCTGGTTAAAAACTGAGAATAATTAACATGTGCGACTGACGCGTTTGACCTTTTAAAGTAAAGAGAAATATACAAGATCAAACAAACCTTCATCAGTTTTGATTGGCATTGTCAGGTAATAAAACAGAAATGAAGATTCTGTAATAAAAGGTATTTTGATTAAAGAAAATTAGGCCAGGAGGGCAGCGGCAGCGAAACAGGGCATAATGGCCTCAGCGAAAGAAAATTGATATCAAGGTTAAATGTATTTTATAGTGGTTTACGGAGTTACCTCAAGAATGGAAACAAGAGATCCTGAGAGTGAGACTTTCTTCTAAAGTGAAGCTCTGAATGTCTTCTCCGTATGCATTTTCTGTTGCAGCAGCGACCTTATAAACCAATATGTGTACCTTTATACACAGTTTACCACGTTTATTAAGTGCATTTTGATACCACTGGCTCATTGGCTCGCATAAGTGCGATTTATTCACAAATCATGCCATTTTTTGCTATAAACTGCATATTTTCCCCAGCTTCACCAAAAGACAACAAAAAACTGCTTTTTTAAAGAAAACAATCATTTTAGATGTATATTTTTTTGAAAGTAGAAAGGAACCGTCTGTTTCAGCTGAATGATGCCATTATTTAATTGCATCTTTCTCGATTTCCATCAATATTCTCTGATAAACTCATCAGAAACATTAATCTGAGTAAAATTATTCATAAAAAAATGCCATGACACATGTTTTATCTAAATCAATAGTAACAGAAGATTTGAAACCCAAGAACATAGATGTAGCCTCATGTCAGAATTCCCGACAGGGGTTGTTCTCAATCGAAGAATTTCATTACTTGAATGTTCCTCACATTGGATTCTCGGTAGTTTACGACGACTTTGAGTGTATTTTCAAATGCCTCTACCATCCATTATGCATTTCTGTGAACTTGGCTACCGAAGGAAAACTGTGGTGTGAATTATCACCGTCCGATAAGTACAGCGATCCCAAGGAGTACAAGCAAAACCGGAATTACAATCATTATTTCATTAAGGTAAGGAATTATTCATGCAATGAGCTATTGTTTCACTTTATATCATCTCTCAAACAATTTTGTCTGCCCTGTTTCTTAGTCGTCTTATCGTTTCTTGTCATTTCAAAACGGAGGAGTTTGCGTTCAATCGATGCACTCAGTGTATGCCTTTGAATTTTTCTGTGATCAAGCGGGAGAATATGGTGAAAAAGGTATGTTCGAATTTGTTGACTTCATCTTCATCTCCTTTGCATTGTTATTTTACTTGTTCCCTCTTAATATTTGTTTGCCTCTGTATTTGTTTTAAGTTAATAATTAATGTGATGGTGTAGTCTGAACATCCAGGTGAATTAAGTCCCGAGAAGGAATGATGTCGGTAGTAGTGACTACTACTCACTTACTATTCTCACCTAGACTATCACACTACTACTCACGGACTATTCTCACTTAGACTATCACATGTGACAATGGTTTAAATCATTTACTACAAACTAAGGTAAAAATGTTGCTTTGTCAAATGATTTTCGAAGATTCGTAAAGAAAGGCATAAAAATGACATAATTTGGGAGGGAGCGAAAGTCGACATATTAGTTCATTGTATGTTTACTGTATCATCATAGCAGTTTCAATGTGGAAGTGAGTGTTTTGGCGTCAGAGCTTGAAGGAAATACTGATAATACGATGTGAGATAAACTATATAATAGGGCTGGTGTGGCTTTTTAAAAGAGAATGACGGTTTTTCCAACTAGTTTAGTTCTAAAGGGCTTTTTTGAAAGAACAACAGCAAACGACAACTTAATGCTGTGCTCGAGAAGTTTTCTTTTGACTTAGAGGGACAATCGGACTAGACGGATGAAATCGACTCAGAATTTGTCCCAAAGGCCAAACAGTCATTTGTGTTTACAGTTGAATGGATAGCTTTAACAAGCGATCCCCATTTTGTTGAATGGCTCGCTTCCACGAGCGATCCCCATTTTGAATCTAAGATTGCAAGCTTTTCTTTGACCTCAACGGGCAAATTTAAATCAGTGGTTGAATTTTTTACCTCAACGGGCAGAGATTTTGACTCAACAATCTAACGCCTCTACGGACGAAGAATACTGTGAATGATTTGCCTGTAGTACCGAAGTCCCTTTTGACATATCACCTTCCTCTTTTTTATCCCGAGACCAGCAAGCTGCAGTCGGCAGTTCCAAATGGAAGCATTTAATTTTGCCTAACACTTCACCGCTGCTTATTGTATCGAGAATAAAATGATCTCCATGAAGTAGGACTTGATCGATATCTTGGCACCTCCATTCGCTAATCGGCAAAAATTGCTTACATAATAGAGCAGCAAAATACATAAAAATATCTTGTCTTCCTCGAGAGTCATCACTAAATCGTTCATGACCTTGATGGATACGTCCATAAGCAATTAAAGACATCTATTCTAAAAACTGATCTCGTTTATTGTGTTCTAGATTTCTCGCAGAGCAGGACGATTGTACATAGCTATTGCTCGAAATCGATAGATATTTCCACGTGCATTTTACTTGATGTCATCCCAAATACCACGGATACAAAATACGCAATCGATTGCGCATGTCTCCGATATTAAATCCGACAAATTTTGGCTTTTTCTCGCTATCGTCAAGAATAGGCCGCTGCCTCGCTAGGGCCCGCCAGCAAAGATATTCTGGTGACAGCAATGGAAAGATGTTAACCGTTAGCCGCAAAGTTGCCCAAATTTCAGCCGTTAGCCCTAAAAGTCGTCACCCCATTACAACCTTCCCGAAAGTGTTAGGCTTTACCTAGACGTCACTCGGCAAGAGTAGTGCGTTGCCGGTTTTTACTGTCGCACCAACATCAAAATCATTTAACAAACAAAGTCAAGAATCCAAGAAATAAAAGAACATGACTATTTAAGAGGCAGTGTCAGTAAAAATCAGATATGATCATCAAAATGGCGGACACAGCCAAAAAATCGATTTCTCTCATACTTTCTATATTGATAGACCCTTGTACCAATGTAACCAAAAGAGGGCTAGTTTTTTCTAATCTTTTTTTTTTTGAGAGTAATTAAATAAAAATGGTCGAGTGCGGATCGAGCCAAATTTCGATATTCGAAATATCGAAATTCTGTCATATTTACGGCTTGCCAGCGGAAGTCGAAAATTATCTGTGAATTTTCCTTTGCAATGACATCATAGTTAGGGCCTTGAACAATTTATTGATGACATGAAAAGCAGATATGTTCTCGTTGTAAATATTTCATGAAATTTTTTCTTGATGACACCCTGCGGCTGTTTTTCAATAGCTCTATGGTACCCTAAAACAAATGCCAAAAACGCTTGTTGGTACGCGAAGAAGAACCCAATAACTATATTGCAGGTACAGTTTAAGGATAGACGTTCTCAGATATACTTTCAATTTTTTGGGATAATGTTTGGTTTTGCAGTAACCCTTGTTTGAAGTTTGCTTATTTTCGAGATTTGCCGAAGCTGCCATATTGAAGTTTCAACTAACTTGACCATCAAGACTGAAACAATTGATCGCAGGTCGAAAAGTACATTTGAAGTTAAAACATGATAAGCTAACTTAAGCTAGGACTTGGTTTCTGTTTCTTATCTAGAAAGTTAATTAAATTGGTGGTAGACTCTGGCATATTTTTGCTTGTTGTCAGTTTGTTTACACAAGATATTTGGTGACTACTGTACCAAAAAGTTTCGTTTTCTTGATACCTTCGGTTTCGGTTGCAAATCTACTTTCTGGGCCTTTCAGTTATTAGTTTTACTTTTCAGAATGAACAATCTACGAAAAATCTTTTCCATGAAAAATACTGATCAAATAATAAATAAGTTAAACTATGTAGCGAGTGAAACAACCTGTGTCTATAATGTATCCGTCAGCAGACTGTCGCACGCTTGTCCAAAGATCAGTATCACTGGCATGAGGAAGTTCGCCGACTTAAACCTTATTAATATTTTAAAAAGCAGCATATGTCCAAGTTTTATTCATTTAGTTATGTCTGCAATGTTTATCTGAACGTAGTCGTACGTATCCTACTCCAGTAACAGTTCTTTTTGTCTGCTTGCGTGACACTGTGAAGTGTGAATTCTGGAATTGTCAATTTCAATTTTCTCTGAGAACTTTTCAGAAAATTGTCATATAACATTGCTTCATTAAAACAATAAACCTTTCTCAAACATGGATTATACGTTTTCATTGATGGTCGGGAGAATGTGTGGACCTGATCCAAATGTGGATCTGATCGGAAAATCAATCTTGTCAGGGACTCCCCCTCGTATCTTGCAACAAGAATACTCGATCTGCGAAATATGGTAAACCGTTTCAAGTAGATTTCTCCTATACAAGCGAGAATTTTCAAAAACGAACATTGCTGTCCTATGTATGGGACTTAAGCCTACCAATGGACGAAGTATGGGCGAGATTGAATTTTGAGCTGTGTCCGCGATTTATTTGATTTTCACTGACATTTACTCTTAAACAGTCTCGCAAAGATTCAGGCGATGTTTCGTGCAGGAAATCAGTCAAAGAACGTTTTACTCAAATTCATAGGGCTTTATATGGAGACGCCACATTTGCGTCCGGTCCGGGGGGCACAAATATGGCGGCGGGAAGCTAACAAAAACATATGCCATAGGGTTCTGCTAGCGCTATGTAGAGCTTGTAGTCGTCTTGTGAGAGTTCACAAACATCTACGTATACCCATTCTCATACTAGGACTGTTCAGATTGCGAAATCTCAGCGGACAAGTGACTTGTTTTAAACTACGCGACAATATTGTCGGCCACAATTTTCTCAATCGAGTCACGAAAAAGCATAGAAATTCAATCTTGCCTTAACACAAGACGAAATGCATCCTGTGAAACTGAGAGTTTGTAAAAAGTATAAGTCTTCAGCTGTTCTAATAACTAGCTAAACAAAAATCTCAAAAGGATTGACAATTCCTCATTTTTTAACTTTGATGAAGTCACGTAAAGACCAGCTCATATACTACTCTCCAAAAAGAAAAGAATTAACACTTGAGAAGAAAAAGAGTCGGAATCATCTAGCTCCTTCCGATATCGATAGCATTGTTTAGGAAAAACATGGAGTTCAAAATGGTAATTTTCAACTAGACTTGTAAGATGACGTAAATCAGTATACATGAAACAGCTATAACAGTGAGGGTAATTAACGTTATTATTCATTGTGTAAACAAGAACGGAATGAGAACCAAAATTTGTCAAGTACAGTTAAGGTGAAAATCATTCCTCAGCAAACATATCTTTTTGAAACTGAATCACTCCGCATGCCCTTTATAATCTAAACTTGAGTAACGGAAATGAACTTCAAAATCTTGTTGAACCCAGCGATTTTAATTTCAAGAGAAAGTTTTAATTTATTTTCCTTTTTTCATCATTAAGAATTTATGCCCTAAGAGAAAGACACCTGCAAGTTTTTCCGTCCCAGCCAAATAAACTAAGTTGATTTACAATGACAAAACTTCCAGTGTGTTACGTTCATCGTGAGTGGGCTTTCAGCATCGAAAGCTTCAAAATTCTGCGTGCAGTGACTATAGGTCATGTATTCCTTTCACGTTTGTTACATTTTGCTATTTTTTTCCACTGTACGGACAAATTTCGTCTCCTCAGTAGGTAAGTAACTTAAATTTGGTCCAAAATCCGCCTACTTCACGTCATGATTCGGAGAGGTGGTGTACTGTATATCAACTTTATCAGTTCTGGTTTAACGGCGAACTGGTCTGATATTTCCTGTAAACTTCATTGCGAAATTTACTCAAAGAAAGCTCTTCATCCTACAAATAGGAAAAGATTTTAGGCATATTTGACATACCAAATGGGCTGCACTCCTCGAACCTCTTAAGAAAAAGCCCTGATGGTGTAACTGAAGAGAAAAATCCTCAGCTTTTCTCTTCTCTTTTACGTAAGAATAGATGTTAAAGGCCCATTTTTATCCGAGATCCTTTGCAGTCGTTTGTTTTTGTTTTGGAATCGCGCTATTGTTAAATGGCGAACTCTGATAGTTATTCGCAAACACTATTAAAAAGAAAAACAAAGATTTGGTGTAGAACACAGTAAACAAATTTGCAGCTAAATATTTGAGACTGAAAAATCATAAATCGAGTCTGTGTTTAAAAATTGTACAAAGCTTACTTGATGTTGAAGGAAATTGTTCGGTTTCAACACTAAATAAAATATAAACAAATAACCAATATTGGCCAAAACTGATTTACTTTACACATTTCAATTATAGAATAATGACTTGTACAAATGAGATCGCTTACATACATATCTCAGGATCTCAAGTAAAAATCAGTCAAATAATTATTCTCACCTCGAAAAAATCTCCCCGGAGTCTCTAGTTCCATCGTAGGAACAATGCAATAACATTTCTGCAAAAGCACTGTCTGTAGTGTTACCGAAACCCAT